TTTTTTATGGGGGCAAATTATTTTTGGGGGCCAGAATAAACTCATACTGTAATTTGTTGTGAGTTCATGCGCTGTGTTGGTTTTGTTCTTTGAGCAAGGTGATGTTCATGCACGGCTCATTTTATACACCAGTAAAAAAACATATACCTTTGTCTTGAATTTGGGGGGGAAAATTGTCTTGAATTTGGGGGGGGGAATCATATTTTATTTATCAATGAAAAGGGTTCAGTGAATGCGCATACGAAACTGGTGGGTTTGGTGACTCAAAAAAGGTTAAGAACCACTGATGCTTTAGAGCAGTGGTTTTCAACCCTGATCCTCAAGGCACACTGCCTGCATGTTACTGTATATATGTTTCCCTGCAGTCATTTGAATCAGGTGTGTTAAAGCAGGGAGGCTATGACGCAAAGTCTATTTTTATTAAAGACTATTTTATTTCATAGCAACTGAAGGTAATAGTTACTTGATTGTGGTATAGAATTGAACAATGTGCCTGAAAACACAAAATACAACAAAAGTAAAAATAAAACAGAAACACATAAAAAAAAAAAGATAAAAAAAAAAACAACATCAGCTCAAAGTGATTGGTCTTTAGCAAATATTTAAAAGTCCCAACAGTCTCAGTGGACCGAATATGGAGAGGTAACCTGATCACATCTGGATTTACTTTTGGATCTAGGAACATCTAAAAAAAACTGGTTGGCAGACCAGGGTGCTCATTCTGGAGTGTAGATGCTAAGATCATATAAATATGACAGGGCCAGACCTTTATAAACTTTAAAAGCCAACGAGCCAGTGGAGGGAAGCCAGGATCGGGGTCATGTGTTCAGATTTTTGTAGAACCTGTTAAAAGACGAGCTGCTGCATTCTGGATGCAATCAGTCAGGAAAAAAGCTTGATTTTACAACTGTGCTTATCTGTTTGTCTAATTTAAAACCACCATCAAAGAGAACACCCATGCCCAAAAACTGACAACTTTAGTCTCAACAACGAACTATTTAAAAGCAGAAGAACTGTGCGATGTAGATGACTTTCAGGCCATCTAGACCTGGGCTGACTCTGAATGTTCAAGAGTTTTACACGTACAGCTGGTGATGACAATCTGAGTGTTGCATAAAAATCTGCAATGGTTCATAAAACATTTTTCAAACAGAGTTCACTTGGATGGTGCTCAGCTTCTATTACATAAAAAATGAGCTCGCTGTCTGTAAAACTGACAGAGTTGTAGTTATTCTTGTGTTTTCTAAGGCCTGTTGGCTGTGGTGGCCATCTTGAATTGGGATGCGTTTAAAAGTCTTTGTCCATCAATCCTTCAAAAACAACAGTTYTTACCTCCAGCACCAGCTCCAGGTCCTCCACGTAGGTCTCCTCGGTCTGGATGAGCTCGTGGATGTAACCCTGTCTCTTCCTCTCCTGGGGGGTCATTGTGTCCAGTGTCATCAGGTCTGCACACCCTGCGGTGCAAACACACACGTGCACGGCGGACACGGGCACAAACACTCATTTTTTTATTCCCAGTCACGACATAGAAACCCACTCCACATCCAACATGTCAAAACGTGTTTATTACCAGTTTTTCGATGCTTTATTTACAGTTAATGCACAGAATGAGGCACGTTGGAGTCGCAGCAACACAGCGAGCGATGCTAACCACACTGCTACAGGGAGGACTGCATTAAAAAATAAAATCTAAAATAAAATAAAAGCACCTCTCGTGTTCAAATGGTTGCATAGGTGTAAATGAGAAAACGGCTAAAGCTGACGTGAGCGCAGTGGAAGACTCAGCTGGTAGTTCAAGTCTTTGAGGTTCAAACTTGGTTAAAAAGTGGATGTAAGTGTCAGCAGCATGGTGGGATTATCTCTGAAGCTACTTCGTTTTATAACATCTACATTTTTTCATTTATATATTTTGTTGCTGGTGAAATTAACAGTTCAGTACAGACTTGGTGTTATATTTAAAGACCGAGTGATAAAAAAACACATTCAGTTAGTCTGAGCTGAAGCAGTGAGATAGCGAGCGCTGATCGACAGTGAGTCTTCTCCTTGGTCCGTTTTTGCAAGGTTTAATGTTGTTAGTGCAAGAATAAAATAACCCTGTTAAAAAAATCACTTTTATTCACAGCCTTAACTTGGAAAACTAAATGATTCCCGTTTGAACTGATGACATGTTTCACTCAACGCCTGGTGGCTAATACTTACATTTCCTTTTACAGATAAGATGAAAATCATTCATAACACAGCCATATCTTGATTATTGACGGTTTTTATTTGACCAATAAGGTTTCTTACGACTTAAAATGACATAAGGACGTAATGAGCAACAGTGAGAAATTGTTAGATGTGTTTCTTTTTATTATAATCTGTTAATCTCCAGTGTTGAAATTCTTAAAGTTAATGTTTTTCGAATATTTTTATTAAATTTTGCACACCACTGTGTCTTTAGTTCCTCCCAGAGAATCTGGTTCTAAATCATCACAAAATAATCTTGGCATCCAACGGTAAGACWTATTGCCAAGAAGCATTGGCACAACAAAGAATTAATCTAACAAACAAATTTTCTTACTTTTTGGGCTAAGCTTGGTATTATTACGTATAAAGCACATGAAACACTTTAACTTCAAATATTCAGATAAATGTTGCAAAGAGAGAGAGAGAGTTGTTATAATCTAAAGGGAATAGAGATGTTCATGAAACCTAAATTTAGAACATTTTTGAAAGAACGGTGCACCTCAATCCAAGGAGTGAGGTTGTGGAATAATTTGAAAAAGTGCCACATCACTGTATATGTTTAAGAGAATGAAAGACTAGATTGTTAAAAAAACACGAAATGATTAAATATGTAGCCATTCAAATTGTTGTTCTAGAAAGATTCAATGTTTTGTTTTGCTAAATGAAGATTATAAAAGTTTGAATTCATACTTGAGAAAAAAAGGGGCAGATATAAGGTTTTTTTTCTTCTCTCTGCCGCCTTTAATTTAATTTAATTTGTATTTTGTTTTTTTTATTGCACATAGAATTTTGTTTTTTTATGGAATGAATAAAAAATATTGATCTCCGTTAACTATCTCAAGACCAAAGTAGCTGTTTGTTTGCATTATTTGCCTTTTTTTTGGGCTACTACCTAAATTTTTCTTGAGTTATTTTTTTGGAAGATGACTGTGACCAAAAGAAAAATAAAATAAAATAAATTGCATCATTTTGTAATTTCGAGGCACTGCAAAACTGTATGTTCCATGCTTTTGTGTGAAAAGTACAAAAGCTTTAATAACTCACATCTAGCTGCGTCTGTCTCCCTCCCTTGGTTAGTTAGTTAGTTAAAGACACGTTAAGGAAAACACAGAGAAAGGAGGAGGAGAGTAAAACCAGCAAAAAGTAAGGAGGAGCAGGAAAGAGTCAAAACAAATACAAAAAACGAAGGATTGTAACAGAGGAGCAAAGAACACCACAGTCCCAAAGAAGTCAAGCAGAAAGGGCGGAGCTGGGATGTTCTCGTTGGCTGGGCTTCCTGCTGCCACAGGGCTACTCGCTCAGACACAAGGGGTGAGACAGAGGAGGAGGAGGAGGAAGAGGAGCAGAGAGGAAAGCCAGCATTACTGTCCTACAGAAGAAACAGAAAGAGGATGAGGTGGAGGAGCAAAGGGGGGAAGATGAGTGAGATGGAAGAAAGAGGGAGAGACGTTAATACAGGACTCTTGCATGCAGGCGCATTAATAATGCATTTCTGGAAATGTAAATGTTATTAATGTTTACACCAGCAGGTCTACGGAACACGACCGACAGGTAATAAAATCACGTCCACTTTTAAACTGAAAACTTCTTTGTGTTCGGTGAGCGTGGTTTTAACGAGTTCACTGATTAAACGTCCGCTCTGTTCTGTTAACAAGAAATCTGCTGCTGGGAGTCCAAACACAYGAGCTGTGAATACTGATTTAAACACAGATTTACAAACACACACACACACAAAAACTGGCTGTGTGAGAAATGAAGGACTGCACAGTGAAGAAGATACGGAACATGAGTAAGATCAGTTCTACAGGTAAATTTCTAACAATTAGTTTCAAGCCGAACACCAATTCTGAAAAGTTAGGATGATCTGGAAAATRTATATTAAACAAAATGCTATCATTCAGGAATCTATGTATAAAAATTTATCAACACTTTTTTTTAAATTTAGCTCAGCTGAGTGTAAAATCCTAGTTAAAAAATTTTCCACTAACATTTTATTGTTATTTAGCTCACTTTTTTTTTATTATTTTTACTAAATGGTAAATG